AAGGGGCAGCCCAACTACTGCCCTCATCTCTGAGCTCCCTGCCTGGCCTCCTCAAAAGCATGAGGCTCTGGGGGGTCGGGGGCACCTGGCAGGTCTGGGCATGTGGGGGGGGTGACCTAGTGGGTGCACACCATGCTGTCTTGCTGGACACATCGGCCTGTCCACCCCCCAGTGGGCTGGGCAGCATGAGGCTCTGGGGGGTCGGGGGCACCTGGCAGGTCTGGGCATGTGGGGGGGGTGACCTACTGGGTGCACACCATGCTGTCTTGCTGGACACATCGGCCTGTCCACCCCCCAGTGGGCTGGGCGTGCATGCGCTGCTCGGGCCGAGCATGAGTTGGTCTCTGTCTCCTTCCTCCCAGGCTGGACCAGTCCATTGGCAAGCCCTCCCTGTTCATCTCCGTCTCAGGTGGGTCTCTGCAGCGGGCACCCTGCATGTGGCGGCCTGTGCTGGACTCCTTTTCCCAACCCTGCACCCCACCTCCTCTCCCACCATTGGAGCAGGCTGCTTGCTGGTCCTCTAGAGCGCATGATATGATATGAAAGCCAGGGAGAGGAGCGGATAGTCCCACCCTGAGCAAAGTGGCTTTGCACGAATGCACTTTAAAAAGGGGTTTTGGGGTTGCTGAGAACCCACCTGGGTCTCTCTAAATGACAAACTTCCAGGGTGTTAAAAGTCAGGCTCTGGGTGTAAAAATGTGACCCAGTGAGCAACTTTCCAGAAGCCAGGGAGATGCTGGTGATGGAAGGGGCCTGGGGGTGGGGTTCGGGTAGGGTGAGCAGTGGCTCAGAACTCAAGGGGCCATCAGTGGGGGCTTTCCCCAGGCACGGGTTTGGAGGAGGAGGAGCATCCAGCAGCAATGCAAGCCCTAGTCCTTCAGCTCTGCGGCCAACTCCCAAGTCCTCTGGACACAGGGCTCGGTGTCACACAGGGGAGCACGTGGCCCGGCCCATTCCTCGGGGTTGCCCTAGCTCCAGTTCAAGCAGGAGCTGCAGCTCCCGGTGTGGAGAGCGTGGCGCGGACAGCTGGGGCGCAGCATTCCCCAGGCCTGGGGCAAGGCCACGCCACCCTGGGGGCAGGACGTCTTGGATTTGTGCAGCCACAGCATCCACCACCTCAGGCAGCCCCTGGGCAGAGTGTGTCCCGTCCCCATCTGACAGGTCCTCAGAGGTCCTAGAGATAGAAAGGGTGGGGGCAGGACAGTGCCCAGGTCCAGGCCACCAACATGCCCACCACAGGAGCACACGAAAGGATGCCCACACAGCCGAGGCATTTTGGCCCTCAGCTGCCTCCCCCTTTTCACCCTGCCCCTGCCCCAATATGTGTCCCTGATTTTGGTGCTTCACCCCACAGAAAAGAGCAAGGACCGTGGCAGCAACACCATCGGAGCCCGCCTGAACCGGGTGGAAGACAAGGTAGGCTCCAGGGTCCGGGCCACATGGCTTGGTGGTCAACACAGTGTTGCCCCGGCAGTCACTGTCCTTGGGCCAGCATGGCAGTCTCTCTCCCAGCTCGGTCCCGAGCATGTGTTTGGGACTATGATGGTGCCAGGATCTGCTCGTCTCCATCCTTCCCTCTCTGCCCCCCATGCCCATTGCAGCCACATACCACCTCCCTGGAATGGGGCTCAGGACCATTCCCCACCACCCCTGGGGCTAGGCATTTGTCCCCACAGAAGGGGGCTGGGCCAGGCTGGTTTCCAGTCCTCTGACAAGTGGCATCTTTACTGGCAAGTGGCACCAGCTGCCCGCCACCCCCACCCTGGAGTTCCTGCGAACCACCATCCCATGGAAGGTGGTCAGCACAGTCCTCAGCTGCATGTGGCCCCCTCAGTCCCCGCACATGTGTGCCCCAGGAAACCTGAGGCCTTCCTGCCAGTTCCCCAAGCCCGTGGCCCTGCCTCTGCCCCGATGAGGAGGGAGCAGGACTTCAAGGTCAGGCACAAATCAGGTCCTTTTCCACAACCTCACTCTTTCCCGCCGCCTCCCACAGTCTGCTTTGTGCAGCAAGAAGATCACACTGCACCCTGAGTGGAGGGTGGCAGGAGCCTCTTGACCCGGCCTTCCTCAGGTCCCACTGTCCAGGACCTTCATTCGGGGCAGGCCGAGGGCTCAGAGTGACTCTGAGTGTTCGTGGGAGGAGGGGCCTCTCCTGCTTGTCATGGACCCGACTGAATGTGCTAGGGGAGGGGTCGGCTCAGGATGGAATGGGAGGGCTGTCCTGGTCCCACCTGGCCAGGCCACCTTCAGCCTCCACTGACCCTCCCCTGTAGGGTCCTGACTAGGGTGGGAGGTGCGGGGTACCTTGGCCAGGGCCCTGCTGGGTGTCCAGTGGGGTGCAGGGCCTGTGGCTCCCACTCTGTGTCCTGGGGCCTGAGCTCCCACTGCCCCAGGGTGCCACCAGGATGCCCCCATTCCCTTCCAGGCTCTAGCCATGGCCCAGCCTGTCTGCCATGAGCCTCTTCCCAGGGCAGTCGGAGCTGCAGGAGTTTCTGGGCAGTGGGAGGGCCTTTCTCAGGCTGCAGCCCAGCCTGCCACTGCCCTGTGAAGTCCCTGTGGTTTGAAGCGGGCTGTTATCTTGCAGCACAGCTCGTTGGTCTGCATGGACTTTATCTGAAAGTAGCTGAGAGGCTAAAAATAGAGACATTTCTGCTGGGCAAGGAGTGGGCCTGCTGCTTGGTTTCCCTGGCAACGCCTGGCTCTGGCCCAGCCCAGCCCACGCTCCTGGGACAAGTTGGCCCCCTCCAGGGCCCCGGGGTCTGAAGCATCACTCCCTCCCCATCTGGCACAATCTGCCCCCAAGACCAGTAAATGGGATCAGGCAGAGAGAGGGCGGGCTGGTGTCCAGGTGCACACTGGGACCCTTGCTTCGGGCCTGGCCAGCTGTTGGCTGCCTGACCTCAGTACCCTGAGCCCCACTGGAGGGCCCTGCCACTCTCTGTCGACACAGGCCCCAGCAGGGCACGTGCTGTGGCCTTTGCCAAGCATGGGAACCAGGATCTGGGAGAGGGAAGCTCACAAGGCCGGTCAGGCTCAGAGGCCTAGGTGACCTGGTCTCTGCTGCCTGGTGAATGAGGCGTTTCCCGGCTTTCCATCTTCTTTGCACGAGGGCCCGGTGACTCCTGGCTGGCATGCCTAGGACAGCAGAGCTGGGTACCCTGTGTTGAGGGCAGGGTGGACATTTCCAAATATCAGGGAAAGCCATGGCAGAGCCAGGGAGTGTCACCCAGCCCATGGACATCCCCGGCCAAGGCAGCCTTTGCTGACTGGCTCCAACCCCCACCGTCACCACTTCCAGATGAGCTCCCCCAGTTGCCTGCCAGGTCCAGTTCCACCCCCACCCTACTGTTCCTGGTTGTTCTATGACTCCGCCCACTGCTCTGAGGGACAGGCCACCCCATTACGCCCAGACCAGGAGCCTGACGTTCTTTGGGAGTGAAAGTGGGTGGCAGGTAGGGTCTCCTGAGCATCAGCACCCCCTTCCTGGGCTTGGGCAGTGGCCATCCGGCTGCCTGCTGGGGTCTGAGGACAAGGACACAGCGCTTGGTTGACCAAGGTCAGTGTGGTGGGCTAAGGTGGGGCCAGCGCTGGCCTTGAAGGGACAGAATTATGTGCCCGTTTCATCAGATCTGAACAACAAAGCAAAGTGTTTTCCGGAGTCCCTGATCCCTGCAGGCAAGTTTTAAGAACAAAGCTGGGCCAAGTCCTGGAGTCCCCACAGCACCCACAGCCTCGGCCCCATCAGGCTCTAAGCCAGGGTTGTGAGGACCCTGGGAGATTCTGTGTGTGCAGTGCTTAGCGGTTGCTGGGGCTGTGCTATCAGCATCCCCCTCTGCTCCCGGGGAGCTGGCTGAATCCCCTGCCTGCGGTCTCCGGGGTAGACGCAGCACCCGGGGTCCACACTGAGTCTCAGCCCCTGAGAGCGTGTGGCCTGGAACCAAGCTGTCCATCGGGGTCAGATGGAGACCTGCTGACCCGGCAGAGGCAGCCATGGGCCAGCATTGGCTCAACTGGTGGCAGTCTGCCCGGCCCCTCCCCTGCCACTGACTGATGCCCCCCTCGGGGACAGACCCTGGGAAAGGACCTCTCTGGGCCCAGAGGGCATGGTGGCATGGCCCGGGACTGTGTTATTGCAGTTATCAATGCAGCCATCGGGACCATAAACAACCCAAGCGCAATCCTGCTGACTTGGGAAGTAGGGGACAGGAAACCCAGCAGCCGCCCGCCCTCGGAGCCGGCGGGCCCACAGCACGGCACTGCCAGCCACCCCGCCAACCCCAGCAGAGCCCCTGGGCCTTCCCCCCTCACCCTCCCCTGCCAGGCCGGCTGCAGGCCAGAAGGGAGTCCAGGCCCCAGCCCCCAGCTGTCTTCTCATCCCAGCTCAGCCCCTCAGTGGGAAGAGGGTCCCCTCCCAGTCCACCTCAACAGCCACAGGACAAGGGGCCCTGAGAGCAGCAGCAAGGAGGGCACATTTGGGACGCTCTGTCGGCTGGCCTCCACTCTCCAGAGTGGAGCATTCTCAGCGCCAGGGAGGCCTGGAGTGTCCGCCTGCAGGAAGTTGCAGGGAGGCCAGCTGAGCTTGTGCAGGGGTACCTGGGTTTCCCTGGCAGGGACCCCCCTCCCTCAGGCTCTATTCTCACCAGAGCCCCACAGCCTTGTCGAAACTGACTTAGCAGTGGGGTGCCTTTGCACCGGCTCAGGGCCCCACATCCTGCAGGATGCCCCTGTGCCTGGGCCACCGTCCCCCTATGCCTGGCCTGGCCATCCACCTCTGCCTTGCTCATTGCCACCCCATATGCCCCAGCCACCACCGCAGACACGGGAGCCCGCCCACCTCGGGTCTGACCCCGCTGGCCCCTGTCCTTGTCAGATGGGAGGCTTTGAAGCACTGCTTGTGTGCTTAGGTGTAAACGCCACCAAAGCTCCCTCGTACTCTTTCAGCGTCCGTCCTACGTTACCATTTTCTTTACTCTGGGGAGGACTCTTATTTGCCCAAACAAATCTTCTTTTACTGGTGGGGAAACTGAGGCCCACAGAGGCGGAGTGGTCACCTGTGGTCACATAGGTGAATAGCCAGTCCCTGAGGCAGCCACCAACAGTGGGGGATGTGAGGTGGAGGGAGACGGAGAAAACAAGAAGGTGTTTCATAAACGTAGGGGTGCGCTGGAGGGCAGGCTGGGTAGGAACACTGAGGACTGAGGCGGGGGGGACAGGCAGGCCACAAGGTCCGTGGGTGTCAGCGCTCAGGGGAATGGGCAGATTCAGACAGCGTGGCGTGCCCTGCCAGTCTCTGCAACAGGAGTCCAAAGAGCATGGCCTGGGCCGCTCCCCAGCCTGCCCACTCCTGCCCAGCCCCCAGCTCCGCCAGGCTCCCCCAGGTCCCACGCAGGGCCGGTGGCCGCGTGAGGGCTGCTCCAAGCAACCCATGCAGGAGGCTGCGCAACCCTCCTTCCCAGCACGTATTCTGAGCTTGGTCCCCAGGACCTGCCGCGGTGTTGACGTTGGGCCCTGTTTATTTTGCAAGCTAAGCTCACACTGCTTTTGCTGATATGAGGAGCACAGTGGGCTGGGAGAGTTTCTTTCTTCTCTGTTTTTGCCGGAAATGTTCGTGGCTCAGAGCCGGACACAGGGGAGTCCTGGGTTTCCATGCCCCAGTTCAGAGAGCACTGGGGGGCAAGGGGCCCCCACTAGCTGGCACTCCTTGCACCACCTCCGGTCCCAGAAACCAGGCCAGGCACACCTGCTCCTGCACGAGAAGGCCCCCCAGCCGGCCACCCCCACCCCTCTACTGAGCTCTGTTCTTGCCCTGCCCTTGGACACAGACAGGCCCAGCTACCCAGAACTTGGCATCTGCCCCCAGGCACTGCCATCCTGTCCCTCATCTCAAAGGGTTTCCTCCATCCAGCAGGCCTGCAAGCTGGACCCTGAGGTGTCGTCATCCTGGGCAATTCCCCTGGACGTCCCTCCATCCGTTCGTCCTTCACCCCAGCCCCACATCCTGCTGCATTTAGGCCATAAGCATCTCCTGCTTGGATTATTTTTCCAGCCTATGTGGTCTCCAGCCTCTCCCCCACTACCCACCAAACCTTCATGTTGTGTATTATTTCTTAAACACCACTGAAATCTCCTTGCTAGTATTTCGTTCTGAATTTTTGTGTCAATGTTTATGTGTGAGATACATACATAACATTAGTTTCCTTTCTTCTACTGTCCTCATCAGAGGTTGGTATTAAATTTGCATGAGCCTCGCAGACTAAACTGAGAAGTTTTCCCTCTTTCTGTGCGCCGGGATATTTTGTATAAGATTAGAATTGTTTTCTCTTGTTTGGTGGAATCTGAAGATAAAGCCATTAAGGCCTGGTGTTTTCTTTATGGGAGGATTCTTTATTACGGGTTCAGTGACTCTAATGGTTGAG